CGGGGGTCCCATTCCCACATTAAAACCCAGCCCCCCCCCCCCCCATCTGCAGCAGACCCAGGGAGATGGAGACACCCCCAGGCCTTGCCCCCCGCCCCACACCAGCTCCCCATGCTCCCCCCAGCAAACTCAGCTGCGTCACCTCCTCCGGTCACTGGCACAGGGAGGTAAGAGAGGAGCAGGTCCTGGCCACCAAAGAGGGGCACAATCCTGATTACAAGCATGGTGTATTTTTAAAAAGTATTAAAAAGCACTTTAATTAAAAAAAAAAAAAGGGGGGGGGTTGGGGTACAGAGACAAAGGAGGTAGGGGTAGGGCAAGAAGCAAAAAATCATTAATATAGGTAGGTGAGGCTGAAATTTCTACGTTTTGTCCCTCCCAAAGTGTGGCGGTGTGCTCTCCCTGTTTTGCCCCCCCACCAGCTCCTGCCCGGCCTTGGCCATCACAACAGCAGTTGTGATAACTTGCACCCGGACTTTGGGGGATGGCTGGCAGCATAGTCAAAATACTGTCTGGAGTATCTGCCCCAACAGATTCTCGGTAAGTGAGGGGGGGGGCAAAAGGAGAAGGGGGGGGCTCATCCTCCGCTCTGACACCCCGCTGCTGGCGGCGGCACGGCGGGCTCCCGGCCTCCATCGGCGACACCGAGGGCCGGTTTATCCCCATCCAGCGCCGCACACGGGTTTCCTTTCTCCCTACACTTCCTTTCCCATATATATACGCACACACATATATTATATATAGGTGGAAAAAGCAAGCTCCAAAATTTCAACTGAACATTCAAGTCTTTTAAGGAGAAGCTGTCTAAACAGTCCAAGCTTAAAACTAGTTATATCAGGCACTTTCAGTTTTTCCGTTAGTTTTTTAACCACATGAGACCCACACAAATGCGCACGCACACGCACACGAACACTAAAAAAAAAAAATAAAACCAACAAAAAAACAAAAATAAAAAAATTAAAAGAGAAGCAGTGTGTCACTTAACTAAATGTAAAAGTCTTCTGGGAATCAGGCAACTGATAAGCAATGCCGGATCGACCAGTTGGGCTCCGGTCCCGCGCTCGGGGGTCCCCCCCAGGGAAGGGCTTTCCCACCTCTCCACTCCCCAGACATGAAAAAAGGGACACAAGCTTTCACAAAAAACGGAGGCATCCCTTAAAGTTGCAAAGTAGGCATGTTAGCTATTGGCTTGGCAGTGAACCACTTCAAATTATAAAAAGGTATTTTGCTTTTTTTTTTTTTCCTTTTTTTTTTTTTTCCTTTTTTTTTTTTTATTTATTTAAAAAAAAAAAAGAAACTGTTCCTAAGTAGAAAACATCTGCGATCGCAAGTCAGTCTTTTTTTTGGCTATTGTTTTTCTTCCTCCTCCTCCTCCTCCTCCTTC